AAAGGGAATCTGACCATTCCTACTCAATTTCACAGGGAACCTGATCATTTTCAATCAATTCTGATAGGAATCTGACCATTTGGAGAGTTGGTTTGGGGCTCCTTTCTGGGGTCCTTGAAATTCCGCCCAAATATTCTATCTATCCGTTTGTGAAAACACTGACTTTTTTGAAAATCGGCAGATTCTATCTACTTTAGGATGACTATAATCCTTTAATAACCATACTTACTAACGAATTCCCTGCCCATTTGCTTTCATCTGACAAGCTGGCTCTAGAGGTCTGGGATTTAGGCTATAAATTCCTCAAACTCTAAACCCTATAGAATCCCACTGCACGTCGGTAGTTTAAAGTTGGGTAGGCTTGCGACCCATACCTGATGCTGAACTAGGACGTTGGGGCCTTAGGCCCCTAGCTGGCTGTGCGCCTCCATTTTGAACTCCTCTCGAATGGCTTTTTCCTTCGACCACATCGCCGTGGCAACAGGATGACTGCAGAAGACCGCCCAGGCAAAGTTCCAGTGCGCGGCCGGGACAGCTGGCAATCTCGACGCTCATGAGGTCTTCCACCCGACGAAGCGGCACATGCAGGACGAGCCATTGGCCGTAGCAGTGGTGTTTGAGCCGGGAGACCATGTCCGTCGCGACCAGTCTGAACTCTTAGTATGCCCCTTAATGACCCCTATAACACTGCCCTGTATAATCCCCTACATAATCTCCTGTAAGGAGTTTGGACCCTAAACCCGAAACCCTAATTCCTAAACCCTAATCCCTAAACCCTATATAACCCTCTTTAAGGAGCGTAAACTATAGCTCATTTGGAGACGACCATCTCCGACACCCAGCCCCATTGCTGAGACCCTGCTCCCTCATCCTGACCTTCCCCCAAGGCTTCATAGGGTTTAGGGTGCCTGTGTGTCTAGAGTCTTAGGGTTTGGGATTTAGGGTTTAGGGCTTCGGGTTTAGGGCTTACAGCTTAGGGTTTAGGCTGTAGGGTCCCGATGCAGTTCCTTCTGTGTGGTAGTTTCATCCCTGTACCAGCACTCGCAACCTACCTTTATTTCCCATCAGGATGAACTGAAAGTACACGGGAGGGTCTAAAAGCTTGAACACATATGAGCTACAGTCTAAACTCCTTAAGGGGTTAGGGGACTACCATAGGGGTCACTAAGGGAGATACGAGAAATTTGGACTATAGTTCATATGTTCTTTTCTAATTACATCAGGATCTGACGCGGGATGACCTCTCTAAAGCCATACACCCCATAAATTGAAAACCTTCAAGCCGTTAACCCTAAACTCAGACCCGCAAAAGCCGGAAACCCTAGCCTAAAACCCTAAAACTCCGTAGATTCTATAAATGCTGAAGTCTTCAACCCCAGGCCCTTAAGACCCTCAAATCCCTCTAACTATTCCTATATCCCCAACCCTTAAATCCCAAACACGAACCCTGTATTATAGTTCTATGATGCCATAGACACTCTGCACCGTACCATCTGCAACAAGGTACCTAGATTCCCTCCAATAGGCTTCCTGGTTCTTATTCCAAAAAAGTTTAGGGTTTAGGGTTATAATCCTTATAGAAACCCTATACAATGTTAACTTCATGTTAAGAAGCACCCCTACATTTATAAGATCCTGCGGCCGGAACACAATTACAGCCACCCCGACATTTATTGACAACAATCACCCAAAAGGTATGACACTTTTTAGGGATTGATGTTGTGAGCTGCTTGCCTCCAACCTCTGTCTGGAGAAGTTGGGAAACCTATAAGTGCCAGGAAAGTAGTTGTAGAGCTTGCTTACTGCTGGAACTGTTACCCCGAAAGCTTCAGGGCCTAAATGTAGATTTTGCTCACTGCAGAAGCTCCTTCTCCTACTTCTAAGAATACTATTATCATATTCATGATATTTATACTCATAATCACATTCATACTCATACGAAACCATTATTTTCGCAATTACTATTTAGGAGCCCCCTAGGATGGAGATGGATCAATCATGGAGGGGGGGGTCACTTATCAATGCGACGTGAACATTAGCGTAGTCCCTCATTCCCTACTAAGAACAAATAAGTCGAAGTAAGCCCTCGGAGGCTAAATCTGCTCCGAGCGCGCCTTTCGAAGACGCGATCTGTATCGGCGAGATGCCATCGGCGCGCGGCTTGTCCTCTACAGGAGGTTATAGTCCCCCTTAATCAGATATAATATGGCTTTGGGTGTATTGCAATAAGATCCCCATATACCCCAGATTCTATCTACTTAAGGGGGACTATAAACCCTAAACCCTGAACTGTAGTTTCCATTTTCTTTTCCATTATCCCAATGTATACCCCCATAGTCTATCTACTGAAGGGGGACTATAAGCTTACTGGTGTTTGAGGGGAATGAAGGTGGTCCTCAGGATCTAGGTATGGCTACAAGGGTGACAGGGACAGATGGATACATAGTCCCCCTTCAGTAGATAGAATATGGGGTATATGGGCATCTTTTTATGATATAGTGTACCCAAAGCAAAATTCTATCTACTTAAGGGGGACTATAGCTTCTAAAATTGGAGGGTAAATATATCATATATAGGCGGTTGTATAGTGATAACGGAAAATAACATGGAAAGTACTATAATAGGATATATATATATACATGTGATAAGAACATTTTACGGGGATTGATTTAAGATACTTTATACGGGTCAGCTTTGCCGGAAGTGAAAAGCTGCAGCCCAGGGACAATGAAAACCAAAAGCCTTAGGGTGCATAACCCTAGATCCTAAGGTTTAGGGTTTAGGGTTTAGGGCTAAACCCAAAACAACACACACCCCAACCTCTTAAGCTAAATCCTAAGTACTAGAACCCGAAGCCACTTCACCTACACACTCATGCCTAAAGTCCAATGAAGCTCCTTGTCAGCTCTTGCCTCAAGCCTTCGACGAGTTGCAAGGATTCGAGCTTTGCTTGGGACAATGAATACAGACCCCTAAACCCTAAACCCTAAACCACTAAACCCTGAACCGGAAACCCTAAGACCTAAGCCACCCCATCAGGTGATCTGCAAGATTCGAATTCTTTTGGCATGCAACTAGCTCCCTATCTAGAGTGTAGGGCTTGGGGGTTTAGGGTTTCAGGTGGTTTAGGGGTTAAGGCCTAGACTCCTGGAAGCCCTACACCTTCAGGATACCAAACTTTATGTCTACTATCTTCTACACGGATAAGGTATAGAGGTCTAGGTGTAGACTTCAGGGTTTAGGTGTCAGCGTTTCGGGTTTGGGGTTTCGGGTTGACATGTTTGGTTCAGGGTGAATGCTCATGACGTCGAGGTTTGGCTGCAGGTCTCAGAATTGAAGAAACAACTTTTCAAGTAGGCGCCTTGCTGGGATGTTTGGACCAAGCGTTTCCATCATCTTTAAGGGAATAACAAATCTCATGATCCGTTCGATGGTTCAAGGAAGAGGACTGTAGACGAACAGCAGGCGAGCTTTACTAGCCTTGCATACCCAAAAGTCCTGTGGCTACGCGTCGAGCACCAAGACACCCTAAAATCAAAGTGACCATTAAACCCAAAATGAGTCAGCACAGGAAACCTAGGAAACAGGCTGAACTCTGAATCCCATATGTGCAAATCATTGCTCAGGTGTATCTGCTTGAGGTCTTTGAAACCACAACGGCTTCTTACATCAGCCCGCGGAAGTCTGGCCGGGGTACTGAGTTATACTATATCTTACTATAAGATATGACACCCTTAACCCACAATAACTCAGTATGATAGTTTCCATTTTCTTTTCCACTATCCCCATCTAGGAATAGTCGGGAACTTAGCTGCTGGATCAAACTCCGCACCTCCAAAGTAAGAGTACAGTAATGGCCCAAAACCCACTAACAAAACTTGGGAAAGGCAATGATTCTACATACGTTTGGGGTCAGGTGCTTGGAGATGGTGTCTTAGCTTCTAGGATGGTTTCTTGGGGGTGTCATTTTTTTTGGAGTATGCAAAAAAATGCCCATCAGCATTGCATTGTTGAGGATCAGCTCATACGATCGGCTAGGGATTCTTTCTTGCAATCGGGCGGGAACATGTGGTACAGTTGCCATCTCTTTACTCTAAATCCAAAGATCTCTGATGTTTAGGGGACGACTCCAAAGGAGTCCCATACAAGTCAAATTCATATTGTTCTGGGAACAACCTCGGCATGTTGTACATGTCCAGCTTTGGCCCAAGACATTCTGGAAACCCTTTGGAATCCGTATATTTGACGTCAGCTCAGAGTGCCGGGATCATCAATATCAGCAACGCTGAACAGGCTTGCAAATGCTTCTGCCGGCTGCCAAGCGCATTTGCGGCTGCCAAATGTTTTTGCTTTTCCAAAGTCAGGGGTACCCAGTTGGGGGTCCAAATAACAAGGACTATGGCATTTTGGGGTCTACATTGGGGTCTCCTAAACCCTAAACCCTAATGGCATTTTCGGGTCTACATTTGGAGTCCCCCTATTCAGGAAAGCTGCCGAACTCTCAAGGATGAGCCCCGCCAGGCATGAGTGAACCTGCTGGGCTGCTGCTATTAAGGAACTTGAGTTACCATAGTCTGGGTAGAAAGTAAATGATAAGCTTTGATTTTTATAATAACTTAAGTTAGGGTTGCCTTATTATGATGGCCATTCGGAGGATCGGACTGCAAGTGCCCGAACAGGTTGAGGAATGAAGATGCCCCAAACCCTCTACGTCCCGAACCTTCACCTCTACAACCCTAGACCATAAATCCTGAACTTCCACCGACTTCAACCCCTGATTCTGAATCCCAAGCCCTAAACCCTAAAACCCTAAATCCTGAAGACCTTAAAGCCTTTGCTATATTGCGGACGAGGTAACAGCGCGGCCACAACAGGAAGAGCCCCTTGCTCCTTGAGCAGGTATATATATATATGTATATACATACATACATGGGGATGTTTAGGGATGTTTTTCAATGGACACTCAAGAGAACAAGAATCGGAAAATGCAATACTGGGAGTTGGGATTATATGTGTGTGGCTCAGGATCAGGGTAAGGTTGGGGGTCATTGCTGTGGTTTAGGGTCAACCTGAAAAGACCTGCTGGTTGTTGATATGGATGATCTAGTGGATGAGTTTCCTGGCCCAGGCAGGTTGACCAATAGGACTACCTAGACCCCCGAAGTATGTAAAATAATGGCCTTCGCGGCTATTCTTATGGGTTTAGGACTATTATTTTACATACTTTTGGGGTTTAGGTAGACCCTATACCCCCAAATCCTGCACCCCAAGCCCTCATTATTTCCATCCCTAAACCCGAGCCCTTAAACCCAGAACCCAGGAGGGTCAACGGCTGAAGGCTGTCCAACACAACTGGGGACTCTAGATTGCCTAGGGTGTACTTTGCAGATCAGTTCCTCCATTTCCTGAGAACCAACCAGAAGAAGCACACCAGCAGAAGAGGCACCAGAACTACTCCTGATGGAAAAACATCCTGCATCAGCCTATACATCTAAAGGTCGCCAATTATGGCCTCAGTTGGCCCCTAAAACCCTTTGATCAATATTCGCATATAGGGTCCCTGTTGAAACCACTAGGAAAATGTTCAATTTCCCAGGGGCCTACTCAGTGGCAGCACAGTATGTCTAGGGACCCGCAGAATCTTGTTCATTACCTCGGACTATGAGAAGAAAAAGTGGTATGTTGGGGGATTTATAATTGGGGCCCCAGTTATGAAAACTTCCATGCCTCCTTAGGGTCCCCTAAGCCCGAAACCCTGAACCCTGAGCCCCTAAACCCTAGGCCCTCGGGGCGCTCAGCTTTTTGAACAATTCTAAACATGATTGCTGGGTTTAAGGTTTAGGGTCAAAACCCCCACCCTCCGAACACCAAACATTCCGAAAGTACTATACTCCATTATATTCCACTACGGTGCAGCTCAACTAACTAGAAATAGAGGGGTCGGGGATGTAATATTGTTAGGGGAAATGATAAATTGAGTAACGGTTTTTTGGTGGTTGAACCCAGTTAGATTATGTTCCTTATATGAAATGCTATGCCCTTAATCTTAGTCTATATCAGGTACCATTCCCTAAACCCTAAACCCTAAACGCCCCTAAACCCAAATAAAGTACTACTAAATTCAAGTTGCCAAAGCTCAGCTCCGGCCCAGAGCGGCGTGACTTCAAGGACGTCGGATTCGTCCTTCGCACGGAACTTGAGGTAGTTCAGGCTTCCTCACCCACCCTAGACCCTAAACCCGAAACCCTAGACCCTAGACCCTAGACCCTAAACCCTAGACCCCGAACCCTAAACCCTAAACCCTAGACCCTAAACCCTAAACCCTAGACCTTTATGGGGGGGGGCAGATTCGACCTAGGCCTTGCTGCCTCTTAGCCTAGAAAGAACAAAAGGTCCTTGTTGAATACTTCGTTGTAGTGGTAGAAAGCAGCCCATACAAATCCATATACCAAAAAACATGGCACTTTCCCGAAATACCCCCATATTATAGACACTGGAATATATTGCCTTTTTATAGGGACCCCCCAACATGGTATTCCTAATTTTGGGAAACCCCCTACGTGAAGGTCCGTAACAGTCCAACTGAGCGTTCAGACATGGGGCAGGTCTCCATACCAAGAGTCCTGGGTCCAGCCCCCATATGCTCGGCTGTTTTATCTTGCAATCGAATGGCTTAAGGGTTCAGGACGGCCATCTGAAACCGCAAATCTGAACCCTTAACCCCCAACCAATGAACCCTTCCAATGCTAAAGCCTGAGTCAAACCAACTAAGTACAACAGTCACAGTGAGTATGACCCCACCACTTACAATCACATCAGGTGACTCACGGCAACATAGGACCTTAACAATTGGAGAACTTAATTGCTCTTAACTGGGAATATGATCCCTATATCATCCCTGTATTAACATATTCCCTTACTCCATACTAAGAACCAGTAAGGTAAATGAAAACCCCGGACCTAAACCCTAAACCCGAGTTCGTAGTGAGACCGTCCTTGTCCGCCCCCGCGGCCAGGAGCAGCCCAACAATGCCTGCAAGCAGGCTTCCTGCCTAGGGTTTAGCGTTTGGGGTTTTAGGGTTTCAGGGTTTAGGGTTTATAGTCCCCCTTAAGTACATAGAATATGGTATATGGGGATCTTATTATAATATACCCAAAGCATCCCAAAGCCATATTCTATCTACTTAAAGGAGGGACCATAGGGTTTTGGGGGGGAGATGGACCAAAGCCCTGCACCGTAAGCCTCCAAACCCTGAGCCGGAGAACTGCAGGACCATCTGTACCTTGAACACGCCGCTCTGACCATAAACTTACTGGTGGTTAGTAGGGAATAAACCTAACTTCAACCTAAACCCTAAACTCTCAACCTAGGCCCTGAACCAGAATGCCACAATCTCGAAGTCCAAACCTCAAAGGGCCTTGAAGGCTTAGGGGTTTTAGGCTTCAGCTTTAGGGGTTTAGGGTCTAGGGTTGAGGGTTTAGGGTTGAGGGTGTGGCCTGTGTGGCCCATCTGTGCCGCAATCCAGAGCGGTGTACCTGGGTGAATCTGTGAGTGTGTTTCAGAATAAGGGTTTAGGCTTCAGGGTTTAGGATGGACCTTGCAGGTATGTTGAGACTGTAAGGGCTCAGGGTTTAGGGGTTTAGGGATAGGAGATTATGGGGAACACTCTTTTGGGATTCTATGACATTTATTGCAGAACCCCATGGTTGGCGCCACATTCAGAACTGTAAGCGTTCATTCTTTTGTTCTGCAGGAGCGTCGCTCAAGATTTACTTCTCCAGATTCAACATAGGGAACCACACCAGATCCCTCAAAAGACTGTATTCCTCAGATCCTATCCAAAAATCCCCCAATTCTTGAAGCAAAGTATGGTTTCCAAATACCTGGAGCACTGATGTTGAGAACACCCGATAGGCGTTCTGGTTTTCTTTACAAGCACATGCATACTTCCCAGAACCTGCCGAACTCAAACTGACAAACTCTTAGGCCCCTGGATCCCAAAACCCTGAATCAAAAAACATAAAAAAAATGAACATGTTTTCAGAAGCCATCTCCCCAGATGCCCTGAACCTTTTTATGAGGGCTTACCCTTGCCAAACCATCCAATCATATCGGGTATCTACACCCTAAACCCCAAACCCAATTACAGAAGCCTTCGGCAGAAAGAAAAATCTTCCACCCAAGCCTAAATCCCCAACCCTAAAACTTAAACCCGAAACCTCAGCCCAAAAAAAACAAAGCCTAAACCTTAAACCCTCAATCCAACAACGAGAAGGCGCAGCTATTGTGACCGTACACTTGCCCTACCTCTGCACCGGCCTCCAGCCTCGGCTGCGGGGCTTTTTAAGAAGATTTAGGGCGCGGTTTAGGGGTTAGGGTTCAGGGAGGCTTAGGGTTCAGAGTTTAGTGAGGCTGTAGGGTTTTGGGGATTAGGGTTTCGGGATTAAATTCGGGTTTAGGGGCCGTAGCTGCAAGCTAATTGGGGTAAGTCCTACACACACACACAGACACACCAGAAACCCTTAGCCCTCAAGCTTTGAATCCCCAAGCCCAAAACCCGTAACTCCTGCGGCCTGAACCCTAACTAAGCCCTACTGCCTAACCCCACAAGCAATTAACCCGCATCCCTAAGCCCTAAACCCTAAACCCTGAACCCTAAACGCGAAACCCCCCACAAGTCGTCAAGAAGCAGAATCTTGGCTATCCGCTCCTTGCCATTCTTGCATGCACGCCAGAGTCCGGACCCAGACCAGTCTCCTAGGGTTTATAGGGTTTAGGGTCTTCGGGTTTAGGGTTGAGGGTCTAGGGTCGAGGGTTTAGCGTTTAGGCTCTAGGGTTTAGGGTTTAATTCTAGGTATGTTTAGGATTTAGGGTCTAAGGTTAAAGGTTTCTGGCTTACGTGGAGACTCGTGGTACAGAGCTCCTGATGTAGTGTTCATGTGTATGAGGTCTAGTGTTTGTACGGCACGGGGTATAGTAATTTACGACTAAGGGGTAGGGGTAAGGCTTGACAGAGGAAACCGTGCACCGCCTTATAGACTCTAGAGTACTTGCCAGACTTTGGGATGTTTTGGCCGTATTACCCCTTGACTGCCATGTAGGTACTGGGATCTCAAATGAAATGCACGGTAGCTGGATACAATAAGACATACACGGACACAGTGAAAACATGTGAAAACTAAACCTTCGACAGTACATGATGATGCTCAAAGTGTAGCATGAGCTTCATTCACTTGAGACGTGAGCACCGCAATCCCCAAGGTATAAGGCCCTTATACTAGGATGTTTGGTCTCAAACGAAGCGCCGCACACCTTCCAGTCAGAGTATATCGGCTTGAAAGACTTCTAGGGTTTACTTGGAGGATCATGGGACTCAGTACTTGTTGAAAGCTGTGGTAATAAGTCTTGTGATAACCCTACGTCTAATTGGGGGTAACCACCATCAGGCCATCTAGGGGGATCTATTTCTAAGTCCCGTGAACCTCTAAGTGCACACTGTCCGTAAGTCGGAAATTCAGGCATATGGTTTGTAAAGACCATTGTACAGGATGACGCAGGGAACGCGACAGGGATCGGTTACACCCCGCCCTAATAACCACCCACTAAACATCAGAACTCTGAAATAGTGAGCACTTATATAGGATTGCCATGTTATGTTTTGTTGGCTGGAAGTGGTGATGCGGTGGTGAATTCGGGCGTCAAATGTGGTGTCAGATGTCAGGTTTGAAGTAGAAGTTACTTAGCCCCAAACCCCTAAACCCATACCTAAACGTTGTGGGTTTGGGGCTGGAGGAATTTGGAGCCTGCAGGTTTTGGAGTTCATG